GTGGGATACCTGGAGAAGGTATCTGGGGACTAAGGAGATCCTGTTCCCACAGGGGGCAGTTGTGTTTTCAGGTGTGAAATCAATGAATTGAATGAGGAGTTTAAACTTCCTGGAAGTAATTCATGTCAGTAGAAAATGAGATCCAGAGAAATCCCAGAGACAAATACAAAGATAAGTGAAGAAGACTGAGTTCCCCTTATTTTCAGTGAAATCATGGTGTATGTATTACAGTTAGGTGTTGCTTAACAAATTGTGATCAATAATGGACCACATGTGATGGTGGTCCCAATAGACAATACCATATAGTTTGGGTGTGTAGTAGGCTACACCTTTGAAGCTTCTGTAATTATACTTTGACATTTGCATAATGATGAAATCACCTAACAACATATTTCTTAGAATGTATGCCCGCCCTTAAGTGATACATGACTACAGTTTTCATTATTATGCAACAAATTAACACACATTTAGTAATTAAAATAATACCCATAATGGAATACTATTCAGTCTTCAAAAAGGAAATCCTGCCACTTGCAAGAATGTGGATTAGCATGGAGACTATTATATTGGTAAAATAAATCAGACACAGAATAATGTATTATCTCACTTTTATATGGAGAATAAAATAGGTATATAAACAGAGAGTAGAATGGTGATTTCCGCAGGCTGGGGAGAGGAGAAAGTTGGGAGGTGACGTCAAAGGATACAAAGTTTCAATTTTGTAAGATAAACAAAGTCAAAAGATGAACTATATAGCATAGTGACTATAAACTAACACTATTATATTGTACCCTTAAAATTTTCTTAGAGGATAGATGTTAACTTTAAGTGCTTGTATAGCAACAACAGCAACAACTAATAAATAATATAATAATAATAACAATAATAAAAGAAGTAATGGGAGGAAGTTTTTGGAGGCAGTGGATATATCTTTGGCCTCAATGGAGTGATGGTTTCATGGGTATATACTTATTCCCAAACTCATTAAGTAGTATGTATTAAGTATGTGCAGGTTTTTCTATGTCAATTACACATCAATAAAGTGGTTAAAACCAAGAAAACAACATCCATTTAATAGCTTAATAGGTAGCATTTAATAGGTAAAAGACTAGGAGAGCTCAACTGTCAAAGATTTTCTTTCTGGGGTCTCATAAGGCCAAAATTAAGGCATTAGGCAGGCTGGTCTCTTTTCTGGAGGCTCTGGGAAAGCATTACCTTTCAATCTCCTTGAGGTTGCTGGCTGAATTTCTTTTCTTGTGGTTGTAAGACTGAGGTTCCTGCTTCTATACTAACTTTTATCTGGGGGCCATGCTTAGCTGCTAGACGCTACTTGGATCCCTTGCCAGGAGGCCTGTTCCATTTTCAAAATAGCCATGGCATATACACACCTTCCCATATTTGGAATAATTCTGACTTCCTCTTCTGCCACCAGGCAGAGAAAGATATCTTCTTTTAAATGGTTCATATGATAATTTTCCTATCTTAAGGCCAACTAATTAGCAAACCCACCCACAACTGCAATAGCCTTTTGGCCACATATTTAATCATGGATATGTTACCAAGGGGATGAGATAATAAGGACTCTGTCTACTATATTGTCCTATGTGTGACCCTGGGTGCTGCAAGCCCAGGGAGACAGAATGGAACATTGCTGAGACTAGCTAGTAGCTTCTGAGAAGCCTGGAGGTTTGGAAGGCTGGGAAGCACAACAGTTGCTGACTTCTCCTTATGGTGGCATCTGAGAATCAGAATGGTATGTAGACTCACTGTGAATCCCAAAGAGAAAAAGGAGTATTTGGCAGAGGACTAAAGTTTTATCAAGCAGGTAAGGACCTAATGACCTGGAAGACAGATATCATGCCCCAAATGACATTATAGGAACACCATGATAAGAACACAGATTTGACTGAATTCTTAAGACTGTCCATCATGGAACAATCTTTTTCTCACTAAGAGACTTCTTCACTTTTCTTTATTCCTCCTTGATGCATCTTCCAGGTCCATTCATCTACTCTTTGCTCTCTTTTCCTTCTCCTGTAAATATACATCTTAGTTTTCCTCAAAGGACTAAGAGTACTCCCTGTATTTCCTACTCTTCGATGATATTTAAAAAGATTGCTGGCCTCTGGTCAATTATAACTTGGAGAAAATATCCTCAAAATTTATTTTAATTGTGATAAGTTTTCACAAAAAATATTAAAACACAAAAAGTGGAAATCTACCCATAATCCTTACTCCATTCCCTAAAGGTAACTATTGTTCTGAAAAAATGTATTCACTAGCACTCCAGAAATTTTCTATACATAGACTGATGGGCAGAAACTACTCTTTTCTTCAATTGTTCTAAGCAAAGAAATGTCTGGTCTTTATTGAGCCCTAAAAATAGCAAATGGGCCTCCCTGGTGGCGCAGGCGGTTAAACGCAGTGCTGTGAGGCTGTCCAAAGCCTCTGCAGTGCTGGTTGGATCCCCGCTGGCTGCAGAGCTACCCACATGGCGGGGCAGACCTCTCCTGTCCCGCCTGCTGCTCCCTCAGCAGTGTATTTCGGTCATTCTGCCTGTTCTGTTCCCTGCTCTGTCTCTGGTGGATCCTCTCACCCTCCTGCACATCTGGTTTGTACCCCGGTTCTTGTATAAATAAAAATAATAATAATAAATAAATCTTTAAAATAAATAAAAATAGCAAATGTGAGCAGATATTTGCAAACACTCAAATCTCTATTCTATTATTTAAACTTCATTTAATATTATAAAAATGTTTTATACATTTAAAAAAATCACATTAGGCCTCCCTGGTGGTTCAAGGGGTTAAGGTGCAGCACTGTGAAGCTATCCGCAGCCATTGAGTTCGATTCCCTGCCAGGGAGATGATGCACATGGTGCAGCAGGCCCATCCTATCTCACCCGCTGCTCCCCTCAGCAGTGTATTTCAGTCAATTCACCTGTCCTGTTTCCCATTCTGTCTCTGATAAATCCTTTCACACCCCTGCCTCTCTCCTGTACCTCAGTTCTTGTATGCATAAATAAGTCAATCTTTAAAAAAAATAAAAAATTACTTTCTGGAAATGTGATTTTCTCTCAAATACATCTGTAATTAGACACAATGCTATAGCACAGGTTGAAATCAGTGGTCTATATTCAGTAGAATAATTCCTTTTGCTTACAACTTTTTCAAAATTGACATATATTCTAGAAGCAAAATACGGAATGCGTGAATTTTAAATGACAGAATTAATTAAAATTCTTTACTATTATTGACATGTACAATTTCATAGAAGCTTGGTTGAATAATATTTGCATGTGATTTACATTCAATTTCCCATACTCATTTTTGCATAGAGTTTATATGCATTTCAATGTATAGTACTGGTAAGCATTTGGAGTTAGACTGCTAGATGGAAGGAAGTCTTGAAATGAACAATCCTTGAAAGGACTGAGCCCTGGAGGAGCTAAAGATGTCAAGATACTCAGTAGTCTTGTGGGGCAATGATACAGGCAAAACTGCTGTAAAACACAAACCAAATCAGATGGGTCCAGTTTTACACCCTGGGAGGCTCATGAAGTTCTATCAAAGTCTGGTACTTTCTATGAAAACAATTCCCAAAATCTGGGAGTTTTTAACCTCAAAACTGTCTTAGCTTCATTCATTTTTCTCTCTCAAGTTTAACTTCCATTAGTATTTATAAACATTTTTGAGTACTCTAGAATTTCAGCTTGTTCAGTCAGTATCTTGGGAGGAAGGACTCCATTATACATAGAAAATCAGAAATAGGGTGGCAAGAAGAGATTCTTTGAAATGAAACAGGAACAAAATATTTTTCTTGTTTTGTAAAATTTTTATTGAGATAATGTTGGTTTACATTGTTGTTGGTTTTCTGGAAGTATATGATTGCACCCATCACCAAGGCACCCTACAGTCCATCACCATAGTCCACTATTCTCCCTCTCCACTCTGTGCTCCCCATCTCTCCTCCTTTCCCCTTCTGAATGCCTCAGTTCTACAGTCAACTTTCAAGGATTAGTTTTTGAGTTTGGCTTTAACAAGATATTTTTCAATTATTGATTTGGATAAAGGGCAAGGTTTGTTTCTGCTGGGAAATGCTTATTAGGTTACCCATGTTAATGGGCTGTGTAAATTATAGTGGTACTTTATCTAATCAGCTCACCTTGGCTCATGAATAAACCAAGAGTTTCTTTTTTGCTTCCAGCATTTACTCAAAACTCCCTTTTACTAGTAGGAAAAAGAGGACTAGCTTACCTAGGGGTTGGAGGATTCTGGTTAGACTCTGAAATTCCATGCCACATGTTAGAGTTCCTCTGGAATTTTCTGACTGCCGTTCTGGTCCAAGGAATCCACTCTGGCCTCCGGGATGCTCAACTTTCCTGGGGTAGACTTAATAAGTCCATTATGGTTGTTTCAAAATAGAAGGATAGGATCAAACTTGCCTTCCAGAAAGATCAGCCCTTTGGCATGTGGAGGATGGTAAGAAGATAGTAAAGATTAGAAAAAAGGATGAGGAAGAAATAGATAAAACAGAGCTGGTAGCAAACTGCTGGGAAGTCAGAGAAGAGCATGAAGAATAATACTTAACTCCCAGAGTTGTGGTTTGAGTGCAGTGATGTGCACTGTGCTAAGGAAAGTGTGAGGAGGGCAGGTTTTAAGGCATGTTAATCACTAGTGGCTGTGGTATATGCTAGTGGAAATTTCAGTAGGCTTTGAATGAACAGTATGAAGCTCAAGAAAACAATCTGGGCTGGAATTTGAGGTGGTGAAACAAGTAACTAAGTGAAAGGGGGTGTGGACACACCTTAGCAGGTAGTGTTAAGTTTGTTATCATGTTACCATCCTCAAAAGTCTTAATTTCTGAAATGTATTTGTACTCAAAGATTGCAGCCCTTTGAGAACTAAATGTATGTACTGAAGTAAAGATTGCAAACACAAATTACTTCATAGACAAGGAAGTTACAAAAATAAGATAAAGAACAAGTTAAAGCAGATACTAATTAAACTAGAGAAGGCATATTCTGCTTAAGCATTTTTTTTTCTATGATTTTAAACACTGTTTGTTCCCAAACAAAACACATCTCTAAAGAGGATTTACCCTACAGACAGTAACCTTGTTCCCCAGAGTGAATTTCTATAGAGCAGTTTGCCTGTCAAGTGCAATCTTAAACACAGATAGCCAGTATTGAAAACTCTTAGAGACTATCTATTTTAATATATACTCATTCTCCTTCAGAATCCAACACAATATCACCACGAAGGCTATTATCTCCTTTCGCTGGCAGTTTTCAGGTTGAATAAGCCCATAAGACATCTAGACCAAGAGATTGAGAATGTTCCAGGCAACACATGATAAGGGGAGATATATTTTCTCATTGATGCCTTGCAGATAATGGCTTTTGTCCATTACCTCCTATGGGGCAAATTCCAGAGCATCATCATTTAAAATTCTGCAAAAGAAGGGTATATTTCCTTCCTCTATACTAATTTAAACATAGGACAGCCCTTTCATCTTTCAGAGATTGGAAAATTCTAGTTTATATTTAAGGAGAATTCTAAGAGTAAGTTCTTTCTGAAAATTCTCATTGTCTCTCATGTCTTTGTTTTATTCCTTTGGAGTGGAAGATCTTCCAGATCCAAAGTGATGAACACAGGTTATTTAAAGTCTCCTTTACTTTGAACACAGGCAGGCCATCTGCAAATGTGTGAATTACACAACTTTGATTATCTTACACAACTTATCAAACAGTGGACCCTCTGCTCTAGTGTCCATGACAATTCCCAAATTCCCAGTACACAGATAGTTCAGGGAGGCTACACATGGCCGAATTCCTCCTTCCCTTCATTGGAATGAATTTTCTTTCCTCAAAATCAGTTCTCTGATAAATTAGTTAGTTGATAATCCAGATGAGCATTTGGTTATCTCTGGCCTTCAAATATAATTATCTTCCAGTTAAACATTTGAAGCAGTTTCTAACAGAAAGATTATTGAAAAAACAACATTGGTCCATCAACAATTTCCTTTCCCAAACTTGCAGCTTTTATATCTTTTTCCTTAACTAAAATATCAGCAAAACCCACAAGAATATTGATTTTCACGTGTCAATAGTCATAAGGTATACATTTGATTTGTTTGTTCTACTATAGACACCACATAATGATTGAATTTAAGCAATGAAATAAAATCAGCTTGTAAAAATTAAGAAGCTGCCTGAGATCAGGGAGTATGGTCTTCTGTCTTTGAAATATGTTTTGCTATAACACTGCAGAAACAACTATAGCTAACCAGATATCTCCATGAGCCCTTCCATAAGAGAAGTTCAAATTGTTATGGGTGCTACTAAATAATCCCTGAGGAAGCTTAATTACACCCCCTAATGGTGTGAATCAATATTATACATTATAACATGGTAAAAATCAGAAGGTTAAATTAAAAATGAGTAAAAAATTAACAAATATATGGGAGCCTGTGATCTGACCATCCTTGGACCAAGACCCATGGTAAATACACTTTCATAGTTACAAGCACATATATGACCGCCTTCTGCTTTAGGGTTCAACAAAGAATGCAAAGTCAAGGTGCTCTCTCTTCTAATGTCCCCACTTATCAGTCCCCGTCAACCCCGCTCACGTGAACATTCAGACTTCCAGTCCAAATGCCCACACCAACGCCTGATCACAGCTGTTCCTGAGTAGTTTCCGGACGTAGTGAATGAAGGCACAATGCCTCAGCAGCACCACAGGAGGCTTGCTTCTCTTGGGAAAGCCCCAAGCTGTCACTTGCCTTGGCGAGCTGACTCTGCCCCTGGAATTGTTGTCTCTCTTGTCTGAGATCTGGGCAGAGAAGCAGCAGCTGATCCCGGCCTGCCAGCTGGTATCTGAGCAACTGCTCTTGGGCCTCCTTCCAGGTTCCAGACTCCTGCAGGTACATCTGCTGAGCAGGAGAGCCTGGAAGACAGGTGTGCCTATGGGATGTGCCACTGGTCAGATTGGGAGAAGGCCCAGCAGCATCTGCCCGGCTGCTGCCCTCCTCCTCTCGGGCAGCAAGGCGGCTAACCTTCCTCCTGGACACCCCATTCAGGGACTGGTGTGGGAGGTGGTTCAGCCTGCCCAGCATGACCTTCATCCTCATATCTGCGGAGAAAAGAAGTAGGGGAAGAAATGGAGTAAGATCTCAATCAGTTGATTACACATTTTGCATAGTTAGCATTCCAGAAAAGATCATATAAATAATCAATGAGTGAATTACATTGATGCATTGCTTTCCAAATATCAGGGGAAATATTTTATTATTTAAATAAAACCCACTGTATCCCATTTCCACTGTATTTTTTTTTAAAAGATTTATTTACGCATACAAGAACTGGGGTACAGCCAGAGATACGGGGGGTGAGAGGATTCACCAGAGATAGAGTGGGGAACAGAACAGGCAGACTGACTGAAATACACTGTTGAGGGGAGCAGCGGGCGAGGCAGGAGAGGTCTGCTGTGCCATGTGGTTTAGCTTCCTGGCTTGCTGGGGATAGAACTCATGGTGCAGAGGCTGTGGATAGTTTCACAGTGCTGTGCTTAACCCCCTGTGCGCCAGAGAGGCCCCCCACTTTATTAATACTAATTATCCAATAAATTCTCAATAATGTGGCTTCCTAGAAAAACACTTTCATCACAGGAATTTTCATTGTCAGCATGAGGGACATATGGGAGAAAAGTAGACAACAGTCAGGTGAGAGTACGTTACCTCACACTTGTATTTAAAAATATGAGTTCTAAAGCCAATCTCATCCAATAGTATCACTTATATGACATCACATTACTCTAGGTGCTCCTTAACAATTACCGAAATGAATTTTATTTTAGAGGTGACATTCCATTTGTTTTTTCCCCCTATTGATCAAATTAATATTCAACTCAGAAGAGTACATCTTTGGCATTGACCACTTAAATGGATAGTCCGGGTACTTTTGTCCTAATATGCCCTTATTCTTTGAAGGATGTACTTATTATATAAATAACGATAACTCTATGGTTTAAAAAGTGATCATTTTATATATAAATGACCTATCATAGTAGTTGAACAATAAACAATGATGAACAAGGACCCTAGAGAGTTTTACTGATACAATTCAGTCAAACTGACCAAAACTGTTATTTTATTAGTTAGTTAATACATAAAAGTTGGCCATTAGAAGCTACATTGCCGAGAAACTAAGGATATAGACCTGGAATTAAACAAATACAATTAGTTCTCTAGCTAGGTTCTTTTTACACTGAATAAATGTGTAAATTGTACTTACCCTTTGCATGCCTCAGTTTCCTCATCCATAAACCAGTGATAATGACAGTGTATACCTCATAAGATTATTTGAAGTTTGAATAAAGTGAATCCATGAAGTATTTCCCAGAGATTGTGATAAGATAGGATTTAATAGATAATAACCATCATAAATAAAATCACTTGTGCTCTCAGCCCAACCAGGCACTCTTAATATTTTACACCTACTTCCTCGTTTACTCCTTCTAGCTACCTGATAGACCTAGTCCTATAATTATCTTCATTTTATAGAAGGAGAAACAAAGGCACAGAGGGTAGGGATACTTGGCCTAGATCAGAAAATTTTAAGGGTTTTTACAAGACTCAAACTTAGCTGCTTGACTTAAACACCATGCAATTTACCACCTCACATAATTATTGAATCTGATTTCACAAGTATTTTTTTATCTGCCTACAGCTTACCTTAAAATGTAACCCTAGGGCCTCCCCGGTGGCGCAGCGGTTAAGCGCTGGCTTGCGAAGCTGCCCGCAGCCTCTGTGGCGCCGGTTCGATCCCCGGCTGCTCCCCGGCCACCGGAGGAGGGTCCCACATGGCGCGCAGACCTCTCCTGCCGCCCGCTGCTCCCCTCAGCAGTGTACTTCGGTCCTTCTGCCTGCTCTGCTCCCTGCTCTGGCTCTGGTGAATTCTCTCACCCTCCCGCGCTTCTGACTGTACCCAGTGCATGTATAAACAAAACGAACAAACAAATAAATAAAAGAAAGAAAGAAAACATGCCTCTATAAAAAAAAAAAAAAAAAAAAATGTAACCCTAAATTTGTAATCTACAGCTATTTTATTAGTAATCTGTAGCTATCTTTAGCTCACATAGAAACACTATTTAAATTCACATTAAAATAAACACAGAAATGCTACATAAATTCACATTAAAACAAGCCACCAAAAAAGATCAAGAAGAAAGATGCTAGGTGTGTAAATTAGCAAAGTCTCCCCAGTCCCCACCAACTGCCCATATTTTACATGCACAGCCTATTCTCACCAATTTTCTTAAATGTCAGCCCTTAGCTTGACTTGTATTTATTTGCTAAATACCTTGGTTCCTGAGGTTTTTAACATTTCCAGTTTCAATATCAATATCTCAAAAGAATGAACTTGTCCTATTTTCCCCAAATCCCATTATTTTCTTTAATTACCCTTTATCATTCATGCAATCCCTTTTCAGGAGCTCAAACTGTAGAAGTCATTCTCATCCTCCAGACATTCTTCATCTATTTACTCAATTTGTTATCTTGTTCATTCATTCACCATTTACTGAGCACCTGCTACCAGGGCTACAGCAGTAGTTAATAACTGCTCCTAAAATCTTGGAGTTTATGTTCTGATAGTAGAAACAAACATTAAACAAGAACATTCATGAAGCCTGTACCAGACCATGGGATAACACAGCACCTAGGAACATGTCTCTTGACCTGGGGCTGCAGGAAACAGACCTCGGAGCTGGTTAATAAAAGCAATAATGTAAATTTAATAGCTAGATACTAGGGAAGAGAGAAGAAGATGTGCTCAACCCTGCCTGAGATTTCACAAAACAGAGGACTTTTGAATTTCAAAGGACAGTATGCTCAGGAGGCATTCCACTGTGGGGCCAGCATAGGGGGAAGTGGGGCAGCAAGAAAGAGTAAGGGGGCCTCCCTGGTGGTGCAAGGGGTTAAGCTGTCCACAGCCTCTGCAGCAAGTTCGATCCCTGGCCAAGGAGCAACCCACATGGCTCAGCAGACCTCTCCTGTCTCTCCTGCTGCTCCTCTCAGCAGTATATTTCAGTCAGTCTGCCTGTTCTGTTCCCTGCTCTGTCTCTGGGTGAATCCTCTCACCCCCCACACCTCTGGCCTGTACCCCAGCTCTTGGATGCATAAATAAATAAATCTTTAAAGAAAAAAAAAAAGAATAAGGCATGTTAGGGACTCTGAAAACAGCTGCAGACTGAGAACCTAGGTTGTGTAAGCAGATGTGGGTGTGTACACAGGGTAAGGGTTGGTATAAAAATTATGTGATAAAACTAGACAGCTCAAAAATGAATCAAAAAACATGAAAACCCTACTTAGGAGACTGGAATTTATTTCATAGAAGATGGGGAGTCATGGTAAATTTTGAAATAGTGTGATGATATATCACCTCCATCTCAGGAAGAACATCCTTTCTAAACTAAAGAAAATGAACTAGGAGGGAGTTAGGCTACTGCACTAGTCTGAGAAAAACAGAACAGTAAACCAGAGTCAAATATTTTTAAGAGTTGAATAGACACATTCAAAGATGAGTTATAACAATGGTGCAGAAGAGAAACAGGATAATAAATATAGAAAATTTAGATATGGGTCATGGACTTTAGTACTATGCCCATTGAAAAATGAGAAAACAGAAGCTAGAAGTATTTTTGTAACTCCAGGAATGAAAAACAGTATATTTCTACTGCATCAGAAAAAAAATGCCTTGGTAAAAATAAGAGAAACTAATTGAATAAAAAAATGTCCCTCTTAGCCTGTTTACTGCACAGCTTCCTCATGGTTAGAGTTGGTAATGAATTTTTGTTGAATGAATATATAAATTAACATAAGAACCGAAATATATTTTATCTTTTTGACTTTTTGAAAGCATGGACATGATCTTACTCTGCTTTTGTCTTCCAGAAAAACGATCTCACTTTTAACTACGGATATTACTTTCCTTTTCCATTAAGAACTGCAATCCATCAGAAATTGCTGACTTCCTTGTTCATAAAGAATTTTAGCAAGTGTCTGTCTCTGGTGCATCCTCTCACCCCCTGCACCTCTGGCCTGTACCGCAGTTCTTGTATACATAAAGAAATAAATTAAAAAAAAAAAGAACTGTAGGTTCGAGAAAGCAGAAAGCTCTTTGAGACAAGTATCTCAAGAAGCATTTCATAGCAACAAAGAATCTAATTTCACATTCTGGTTAGTACTGTGTGTGTGTGAAAGAGAGAAAGCACTTTGGCACATGTGCCTAGAGTAGTAAGAATAAAGGTTTTGGAATATGACAAATTATTTCAAACCTATATCTGGATTTGTTAGAAAAAGTAATTTAACTTTAGAATGGTGATTTTTTTGCTGTTTCATAAGGTTGTCATGAAAGTAGATGAGCTACATTATAGTACCTTGTAAACTATGAAGGACCCTATCAAGCTCAGCTGTTGTGTTCTAGTGATGTGCTGATGATGATGGTGGGGTGAAGGATGATAATGATGACTGTAAAAATGAAGAAAACTGGAGGAAGAAACAAAAGGACCATTCACAGGAGGATTTTTTTTTTGAAATTTAAGATAAATGTTGGTCTAAATATCAACATTATTTTTAAAACCATACTTTTTAACTTCAATATTTCCAAATCCTTTCAGCAGAGTGCCCAAATCCAACTCCTTTGAAGTCTATCACTTATGTACATGCATAGGGCTTAGACGCTGGCTGCACCCTACTCTGCGCCCAAATGGTTTAATTCTTTACTCAATTTCCTCATTTACAATCTGAAAAATTACCTTAAAACACACCCTAACACTGATTTTTTTGACCCAATCTTTTAAGACCTCTTTCTTTTCTTCAGTTTACCTCCCAAAACACCTGTCTTCTCTCAGAAAGTTATTCTCTAACACAGTTCCTCATTCTCATAATACATTTCATATTGAGGGGTATATCAACTTATTTCTTTTAAGGATTTGTTTTTCTTTCTTTATGGACACAAGAACTGGGGTGTAGGCCAGAGGTGGAGGAGGGTAGGAGGATTCACCAAAGATGTGTGGGGAGAACAGGTGGATCCATTGAAATACACTGCTGAGGGGAGCAGTGGGCCAGACAG